CCCCCCCCCCCCCCGTTTCAGTCCTCCACATTGACAGATCTGGCTGGGAAAGACTTCCCTCCGAAACCCTGGAGAGCTGCTGCCCATATGCATGGACAATACAGTACTGAGCTAAAATGTCCCAGTGATGTGACTTGACATAAGGCAGCTTCCTATGCTTCCCTGCTGTTTCCCATCAGGTATCCAATGCTTCACTTCATTTGTGATTATCACCACCATATGGCTTGCAATCACTTGCTTCACCACTCATCTGAACTTTCTTGCTAGATAAATTGATCAGCACTGTATGGAGGACTTAAATCACCTCTAAATCTATACTGTACCTTTTACCCTAATGCATCCACCTGATACACCCACCAGCTGGCGCAGACTATGTACCCCATCCATCTTACAGATCAGCAAGTGGAGCCTTGTGGAAGGCCTAGTAAGAGAGGCCACATGCTGTTCTTTCCCAGTAGATATGTATGTAAACACCAGACTAGAGGCAATGTTTTAAGAGCACAATATAGACACAAACACCAGACCTGATGTTACAATCGTCTTCCTTCTCATATAATACCCTGTTTCACTGAAAATAAGACAGGGCCTTATATTAATTTTTGCTCCAAAAAATGCATTAGGGCTTATTTTCAGGGGATGCTTTATTTTTTTCATGTACAATCTATGTTTATTCAAATACAGTCATGTCATCTTCTGGTTGCAGCACAATGGTGGAGGGCGGGCTTTCACTTAACTAGGGCTTATTTTTGCAGTAGGGCTTATATATTCTAGCTGAACTATTTAAAATCTTAAAAGACGACGCTGTTTAGGTGCTACACACAATATGCCAGCACGTTTGGAAAACTCAGCAGTGGCCAGAGGACTGGAAAAGATCAGTCTACATCCCAGTCCCAAAGAAGGGCAGTGCCAAAGAGTGCTCCAGCTACCGTACAATTGCACTCATTTCACATGCTACCAAGGTTATGCTCAAAATCCTCCAAGGCAGGCTTAAGCAGTATGTGGACTGAGAACTCCCAGAAATACAAGCTGGATTTCGAAGGGGCAGAGGAACTAGAGACCAAATTCTAACATGCACTGGATTATGGAGAACGCCAGAGAGTTCCAGAAAACCATCTACTTCTGCTTCATTGACTACACAAAAGCCTTTGACTTTGTGTACCACAGCAAACTATGGCAAGTTCTTAAAGAAATGGGAGTGCCTGACCACTTTATCTATCTCCTGAGAAATCTATACGTGAGACACGAAGCAACAGTTAGAACTGGATATGGAACAACTGATTGGTTCAAAATTGGGAAAGGAGTACGACAAGGCTGTATATTGTCTCCCTGCTTATGTAACTTATATGCAGAATACATCATGCGAAAAGCTGGACTGGATGAATCCCAAGCCGGAATTAAGACTGCTGGAAGAAATATCAACAGCCTGAGATATGCAGATGATATCACTCTGATGCCAGAAAATGAGGAGGAATTACAGAACCTCTTAATGAGGGTGAAAGAGGAGAGTACAAAAAACTATCTGAAGCTCAACATAAAAAAAACTAAGATCATGGCCACTGGTCCCATCACCTCCTGGCAAACAGAAGGGGAAGATATGGAGGCAGTGACAGAGTTTACCTTCCTGAGCTTCATGATCACTGCAGATGGTGACAGCAGCCACAAAATTAAAAGACACCTGCTTCTTGGGAGGAAAGCGATGACAAACCTAGACAGCATCTTAAAAAGCAGAGACCTCACCTTGCCGACAAAGGTCCACATAGTCAAAGCTATGGTTTTTCCAGTAGTGAGAGCTGGACCATAAAGAAGGCTGACCGCCGAAGAATTGATGCTTTTGAATTGTGGTGAAGGAGGAGACTTTTGGGAGTCCCCTGGATTGCAAGGAGATGAAACCTATCAATTCTGAAGGTAATCAACCCTGAGTGCTCACTGGAAAGACAGATTCTGAAGCTGAGGCTCCAATACTGTACTTTGGCCATCTCATGAGAAGAGAAGACTCCCTGGAAAAGACCCTGATGTTGGGAAAGAGTGAAGTCAAGAGAAGGGGACGACACAGGATGGGATGGTTGGACAGTGCCATTGAAGCTACCAACATGAATTTGACCCAACTCCGGGAGGCAGTGGAAGACAGGGGGGCCTGGTGTGCTTTGGTCCATGGGTTCACGAAGAGTCGGACTCGACTTAACGATTAAACAACAACGACAAATGAGTGAGTTATCTTCAGAATGTTGTATCTTAAATAGACTTGCTCAATTTTTGCAAATGCAAGCATGTGACTTCCTTTAAAGTGGGTTAATCCACCCAGATTTGTTCTCCCCCCTTTCCCATATTCTCTTTTCTAGTGAGTTTTATCTTCTTAATGATGTGTATAAGTATGACAGCCTCAATTTCATCATTTTTTGTCTTCTCACAAGAGTTCAAGCTTGATTCAATTCGGGACGCACTTGTTTGTCTTTCTAGTGGCCCAAGGTTTCTGCAAAGGTCTCCTCCAGCACTATATTTTGAATGAATCAATGTTCATTCTATTATCTTTCTTCACCATCTTGCTTTAGCATCTATAAATAATCTGGAAATGCAATCACATTGATGGCTTTGGTTTCCAGTGACATATCCTTACACTTATGTTCTCTAGTTCCCTCATAGCTGTCCTCCCAAGTCTCAGTCTTCTTCTAACTTCTTGTCTGCAGTCTCCATTTTGTCTTATGATTGAACTGAGATATACAAAATGTTAAACAATTTCAATTTCTATGTTGTCGACATTAAAGTTACGTAATTCTTCTGCAGACATGGTTTTGTCTTCTTAATGTTCAACTGTAGCCCTTCTTTTGCACTTTCTTCTTTCACCTTTATCAAAACTCATTTCAAGTCATTGCTGCTTTCTGCCAGTAACACCGTGTCTCTGCACATCTTAAATTATTGTTGTTTCTTCCACCAATTTTCATTCCACTGTCATGTAAATCTAGCCCCAAATTCTGTATGATACGTTCTGCACACAGACTGAAGTGATATGGCAATAAAATACACTTCTTTTTGTATGGGAAACCATTCTGTTTTTCCATATTCTGTTCTAATGGTAACTTCTCGTCCAGAGTATAGGTTGCATGTGAGAACAATCAAATGTTGATAGAAAATTCTGTAGCTTTTCATGATCCACGCAGACAAAGGCTTTGTTGCAATCTATAGAGCATAGAGTAATCTTCTTCTAAAATTCTTTACTAATTCCTAGTAACCAAAATATATGATGTCTAGTGTCTCTCTTTTTGAAATCCATCCTGAACATCAGGCATTTCTCACTCCATTCGGCTAAAAGTCTGCTGTAGCATCCTGAGCATTGTTTTGTTTGCATGTGAAATTTAAAAAATGATCATATACATATTTTTTAAATTCCAATATTATATTTTTAGAAGGAAGGAATCATGCCACCCTTCAACTTAGTAATAAACCTAGACAAGTTCTGAAGAGCTTAAAAGACCAAACAACAATTGAATTTATCCAGATATTCATGGAATTACACATGTGGGTTTGCATGGTAAGTTGTGGTGTTTTATTTTGTTTTTAAATGTGCTATCAAGTCTTTCCTGGCTTATGGTGACCCTTTTCCAAAGTTTTCCAGGTAGAGAATACTCAGCAGTGATTTACCACTCCCTTCTTCTAGGTCAGCCTGGAACTGTGCAGCTTACCCAGGCCACACAGGTTGGCTCTACTTGCAGGAGGGACAGTGGGGAATTGAACTCTCAACCTCTGGCTCCACAGCCAGATACCTAACTCACTGAGCTATCCAGCCAGCTGCAAGTTGAGTTACATATAACAAAAAGTAAGCACACTGATAATGACATTCAAAGATTTCTTGGATTGTAAATCCAGTTCTTCTTTTATTTGATTTGAATTAGTCTCCCATGACATCAAACATAAAACAGGCAGCACTTCAGAATTTATATGGAGCTACTTTGTGATAACTATTCATTGGGAGTTATTTAAATATGTATGGATTCTCTTGAACTCAAACACATACACTGACAATAGTTGTGGCAAAGCAAGGATAGACACATACTTCAGACAGAACTACACTCGTATCCTTGAACTGAGTCTATGCAAAGTTTATTTATGCAGTGAGTGTTTGGTAATCAATTGAAAATGCAACGATGTAGAGAATTCTTCAAATTGCAAGCTTTTCGATTCCAACCTTTTAAACAATGTCATTCTAAGTCCTCTCTTTTGATTTTGTGACTATATGATCACCAAAGTTTTGGGCCATCCAGTATCACCCAGCCATCTATTTTACTAAACAAACTTTTAAGGCTTGAAAACATTATAATAGCAGTTGGAAAGGTTGTCGAGGGATGTGTAGACATAAGTGCAGAGAAGACTCTTACCTTTTACAAGAACTTTTGGAACCTTTGTGTGGCTGGCGCAGAAGGCACTGTAGAGCTTGAAACGGTCAGCATAATAAAGGAAGGAGCCACCCAATGAAAATAACACTTTCTAGGATCAAGAGAATGTAAAATCAGAATATTAAAAAGAAGAATGTACAAGCAATGCTGAGATTGTATGAGTGTTGAAAACACTATCCTGTATTCAGATGGCAAAATTTAGAAAATATATATTTTTTACCAAGCAATGCTGAGATTGTATGAGTGTTGAAAACACTATCCTGTATTCAGATGGCAAAATTTAGAAAAATATTTTTTTACATTATCTATTACAATATAGGTCCTAGTGGACCTTTCACTCATACAGGCAAGATTGTTGTAACCAGAGCTTAAATTAAGGGATCTCTCTTCATTATTAACACAATCAACAATTAATTAAAACTAATTGATTAACAGTTAGAATTATTATACAAATGGAAAACTTTTATATATATATATATGGAAGCCACCTCCTACAAAGCCTTGTTCTCAAAAGGCCTAGGCCTTAGGCAAACAGCTGCCCATTCTTCAAAGGAACCAAGTACAGTGGTGCCTCGCAAGACAAAAGCCTCGCAGGCAATTTGTTTCACAAGACAAATTTTTCGCAAGACAACATTAACGCCTTAGGCAAACAGCTGCCCATTCTTCAAAGGAACCAAGTATAGTGGTGCCTCGCAAGACAAATGCCTCGCAGGTAATTTGTTTCGCAAGACAAATTTTTCGCAAGACAACATTAACCGCGGAACAAATAAAATTCGTCTTGCGAGGCACCACTGTAGTTAGCAGTGATTGCAAACAATACAGTGCTGCCGTCTTCATCCACTTCCTACCTTTGCGGATCTATGACATGGGCACCAAGGGAGCCGGCAGCAGTGAGTGTGTGAAGATGGCTTTGCTGCTGTCCCAAGCACGCCACTGTCTGAAGCAGCTGCCTCACTCTGGCTAGTGACTGAGCTGCCCTCTTCTATAAAACTAGAAACAGTGGCTCTGCACTCACGTCTACTGATAATCATTGTCCTTTGAATGAAAAGCAAAACAAAACTCCTTCCACTCTGTAGATAGGATCTCTAAAGCTTTAACCATGTGACACCGAGAGATTGGAAGAAACTTGTTCTGCACTTTTCTTCCCTTCAGAAACAGGACGGCCTTTTAATTTTTTGTATGGGAAACTTATCCCAGAATAAGTTGTCCTCCTCCCTCTAAGCTGGTTTAGAGAAAGATTTCTGGATAAGCTTACAGAGAATCAGACCATCCGCTGCCACTTGCAAAGACTTACACAAGGACAGAGATGACTGCAGACGTAGCGGCATTATTTATTTAACGAACAGTGCTATAGGAAACACACACCTGGGGATCATATACCAAACAATCCTGAGGTTACATGGAAGCCAGACATAGAGGAGAATAATATCTATTTAATGTGGAATAAATAAGGTACATAAAAGTGCATACATTGGCCTACAGTAATAACTTGAGTGCATAAGCGATTTGTAAAAGGGTCCGACAACAATCCTTTACCATTTAGTTTCAGTATGTTTTTTGCTAGGTTACTCCCTGCTCTTCCCTCAGATGGCAACTAAGTCTTGGGAACAAAACAGAGAAGGATAAGCAAGCAGCTTTCTTGTTCATCAGGAGGTAAAACAATGCCGTTTGCAATTCAGATGTATCCTCCAAAGATTTCCTAGGAAGGGGTATCCTAGGCTTGCCGAACCAGGGTTCATTGTGCTTTTGTTACTAGCTGTTCTCTGATGAAAATCCAGTTAAGAAATTGGACATACAGCATCTTACAAGTTTTCACAGGTACTGCAGCTATCCGTAGATGAACGATAGAAGTGCTGTAAGAGTTTGAGCTTTCAGAATGAGATGCTTGTTTTAAAGTCTTGCCAAGGAAATGAAGTGCAAATAAGAAATTGGACATACAGCATCTTACAAGCTTTCACAGGTACTGCAGCTATCCGTAGACGAATGATAGAAGAGTTTGAGCTTTCAAAATGAGATGCTTTTAAAAAATCTTGCCAAGCAAATGAAGTGCAAGACAAAGAGGAGTGACAGATTCAAAAAGTTGCGAAATTAGCTGTTCTGATTATTATTGCAGTAGAACCAAATGTTAAGCAAATGTTTACAGATCTAAAGCAAAAACTTAAAGACTCACTTTAAACTGGTCCACTCTTTCAAGCTTTTCCAGATCCGGAATCAATCTCACGCCATCTTCAAGGGTTTTCAGAAATTCTACTTGAAATGCCACCATTTCAGTCAAATTTCCAAAAAGAACATCAAGCTGATAAAAAAGTATTTTTGGAAACTGATTAAAATTATTTCTCCCACTTAAAATATCTGACAAAATATAACCCCTAAATTTGAAGATCTCTATCAGCCATTTCGTTTATTCTAATCCTGCTAAGCATTCCATGGAAGTCTGCCCTTGAAAATTTTCACTAACCACTGGCTTACTTTCACTGAAAGATCCATCTATGAGAATCCACAGAAGGTTTTCCTTTACCTAGTGCCCTTCAGATGTGCTGGACTATAGATTCCACAATCCTCAATCAGAACATTGTTGGTTGCAAATGATTATAATTGTAGGTCAGCATATCTAGAGGGTACCTGGTTGGGTAAGGCTGACCTAGAAGATCCTTTTCAATTCAGCTATTCATTCATCCATCCATTCATTTTGGGTAAGGCTGACCTAGAAGATCCTTTTTAATTCAGCTATTCATTCATTCATCCATCTATTCCAGTATTTCCAACCTGCCCTCAAGCAGATCTCAGGACTGGGTAAAAATCAATTACCGTATATACAGTGGTGCCTCGCTTAATGAGCACCCCGTTTAACGATGAAATCGCACAATGGCGGTGACCTTTTCCCAGCTTTTTCTAGGTAAAGACTATTCAGAAATGGTTTGCTATTCCCTTCTTCTGAGGGCACCTGGGACGGTGTAGCTTTCCCAGGGCAACACGGGCTAGTTCTGCTGGGATGCTTAATGGGGAAGTAAACTCCCAACCTCTGGCTCCCCAGTCAGATACCTAACTTGCTGAGCTATCCAACCAGCCAAATTACCTTAGAACAATACCAGGCAGCGAAAATGGCGGCCGTATGCAGGATTTTCGCTTAAAGGTGATTCTGAAGCCCACAGAAACACATTGAAGGGGTTTCAATGCATTCCTATGGGCTTTTTAATATCGCATAGCGACTAAATCGCTTTGCAGCGATATTTGCTGCACCGATTATCATCGCTATGCGAGGCACCACTGTAATCATGTGCCATTAAGTCAATTCTGACTTATGGCAGTGATCTTTTCCCAGCTTTTCTAGGTAAAGACTATTCAGAAATGGTTTGCCATTCCCTTCTTCTGAGGGCACTTGGGACTGTGTAGCTTTCTCAGGGCCACACAGGCTAGTTCTGCTGGGATGCTTAATGGGGAATTAAACTCCCAACCTCTGGCTCCCCAGCCAGATATCTAACTTGCTGAGCTATCCAGCCAGCCAAATTACCTTAGAACAGTCTAAAACCCTTCAAACATTTTAGAACAATGAAAAAATTTTTAGAAGTTTTTATTTAAAGAACAGTAATTCTAACAAATCAAATCCAACAAAATGATAGGTCAAAAACCAAACCATAAGTGCTTACTAGGCCCCAAGTACTTGTGTGAATCACCAGATTTTCTCTTGGACCAGAAATATGGATAATCACACCTCCAAAGGATGAGAATCCATCTCGAGCTATACAGGGGAAAAAGTCCTTTGAGGCCTCCACATGGTGTTGTACTCCAAATGGTGAGATACAGAGGAGGAATATACAGGGAGAGATGCTCCCTCAAGTGTGTAGGTCCCAATCCATTTAGGGAAATCTTTAAAAAGTATTTCTTAACTTCAGACTGAAACACTGGCAGCCAGTGGAATTCATTTAAAAATAATTCTTTTCATTTCAGTTGACAAACGACAACAAGTAGTATTTTGAAGGAAATACAATACCTCTTCTTGAGTGAGAAACGTTTCCTTCTGTAGAGGTTTCAAATACCTCTCCATCAGACAATTTAAGTCCTGAAAAGGGAAAACAATTATGTTAGTTGCATTTTCTCCAGGGTTCAACAACAAACTACAAATGTAAAACATATTCACAGTATCTTCAGTCAGGCATTAAATAAAGACACTGTATTGGGAAATTCCTTAAGACATCTCTTGGCTACGATTTGTAACAGAATCTTGCCTATGATCTATTACAGAAATATTGGCTGGATTCTGCCTGACAGTTCTTATGTTTATTTTCCCCCCTAAAACAACACGAACAAATACTAATGTACATCTTTAGGTAGGCATCCTTCAGTCTCAAGAGACTATGGTAACGTGATCTGAATAGAGGTCTTGGAACAGCATCTAATGTGGCTGAGAAGACCAATTTGAGAGTGACCGTCCCTTCCACACTGACAGCAAATGCAATTTGTCCCCTCTCCAGCTCCCTGATTTTGCCAGTTTCAGGACTGCCTCTTTGCCTACTGAACAGGTGTCTCATCAAATTGGGAAATATTCACAGTATCTTCAGTCAGGCATTAAATAAAAACACTGCAAACATGATGCATTGGGACTTTCCTTAAGACATCTCTTGGCTACGACTTGTAACAGAATCTTGGCTATGCTCTATAACAGAAATATTGGCTGGATTCTGCGTGACAGTTCTTATGTTCATTTTTCCCCCTAAAACAACATGCCATGCTGCACCTCCTGCCTCCAGGTTGAATGCTCAGATGTTAACATTTCCTATCTGTTGAGGCCCATTCCTAAGGCCTTCAGATCCTGCTTACAGATATCCTTGTATCGCAGCTGTGGTCTCCCTCTAGAGTGTTTTTCCTGCACTAATTCTCCATACAGGAAATTTTTTGGAATCCAACCATCAGCCATTCTCACAGCATGCCCAAGCCAATGTAGACATAGATGTAGATGTACATCTTTATTCCTATTCAATTCACTGAAGCTTAAAGCTATGTCCAGTATGTTTATAATGTTGTAGATACATGTTTCTAAATATGCCCGACAGGGCTACTAGTTTGATATCTGAGGCAAAGGGCAATAACTTTCCATCACACTGTTTATCCAAAACTGGAACTGCACAAGTGTCTCATCAAATTGGGAGAGGCCATGCTGCACCTTGTGCCTCCAGGTTAAACGCTCAGAAGTCAACATTTCCCATCTGTTGAGGCCCATTCCTAAAGCCTTCAGATCCCACTTGCACTGACAGATGAATCTTACATCAGCACAAATGACAGGACAGTGTCCTCCACTGCACCTAAAAACGGCAGGTCAATTTAGGGCAAGATAAGCCATGAGGTACATTTTAAGACCTAAAAGGGCCTTCAAGGGGTAAAACTGGTTACTCCTGGCAAACGGTGTGCCCAAAGGCCCAAGGGGTCATGCTTTGTATTTTTGTCCTCCCTTTTTAGAGTGCTTTCAGGGGCAGAAGCATGAGAAACGGTGTGCACCACTCCAGGTAAGGGCTCTCAGAAAGACTTCTGGGCTCTCGGAAGTACCCCATCACTATTTCAAGATATAAAAAATCTTTATATATGACTATTAAATATTTCTCTTGGCATATGATTTTACCTTGACATATGTGCGTTCGGTTTCAAGGAGTTCACATATAACCTTGCGCAGTTTATCAGCATCAGTTAGTTGTCTTGTGGTCTGTTGAGGTCCAGCAAATTCCTGAGGGGTCACACTAGAGTCTGATGGATTCATCTCATGAAGACTGCGGCAAAAGGCAGCAACCTGTTCCGTACTCTTTGAAATTAACAAAAAATATATAACTGGTTACTATTTGTAGAACAGTGTCATGATCCTAGTTAGCTCTACTGCACCATTCAATTTGAGCTACAATTTCATTTAAGGGCTCTCAGAAAGAATTCTGGGCTCTCGGAAGTACCCCATCACTATTTCAAGATATAAAAAATCTTTAAATATGACTATTAAATATTTCTCTTGGCATATGATTTTACCTTGACATATGTGCGTTCGGTTTCAAGGAGTTCACATATAACCTTGCGCAGTTTATCAGCATCAGTTAGTTGTCTTGTGGTCTGTTGAGGTCCAGCAAATTCCTGAGGGGTCACACTAGAGTCTGATGGATTCATCTCATGAAGACTGCGGCAAAAGGCAGCAACCTGTTCCGTACTCTTTGAAATTAACAAAAAACATATAACTGGTTACTATTTGCGGAACAATGTCATGATCCCAGCTCTACTGCACCATTCAATTTGAGCTACAATTTCATTTTTCTTCTGGTTGAAGAGGCCTAAATTACTGTAGTTTTCTAGAGCATAACATTGCATCAATGCTAGAAAAAAATGAAAATTTGTTCTGGATTACACAAATTACAAGTAGGGGAGATCAGGAATTGGCTGAGGGGAAGGCCTGCTGAAACATCCATGTTTTTAGTTGATTTTTAAAGATACCCAGCGAGGGAGCCGCACGAATCTCAGGGGGTAGATTATTCCAGAGTAGTTTTCTAGAGCATAATATTGCATCAATGCCAGAAAAAATAAAAATTTGTTCTGGATTACACAAATTATAAGCTTCTGGTTGAAGAGGCCTAAATTACTGTAGTTTTCTAGAGCATAACATTGCATCAATGCTAGAAAAAAATGAAAATTTGTTCTGGATTACACAAATTACAAGTGAATGATTTCTTAAGAAGTATAGCAGTCAAGACAAGTGAGATATAGCATAAGTATAGCCCTGAATATTGGTTAGGATGCTGTTTACCAGCATAATGTCATAATTTTCATGTGAGATTATACTTGACAGGGGAGAACTGTTATTTATGTATCAAAATGTATAAAACAACTGACTTAAGCTTCCCACGCCAATTACCCCTAAGGATTTACTACAATTGCAAGATGCAAAATTGTTTTCACAGTTTGTTTGTGACCGTATATGAGCAAGCGCTAAATGGCCATTAAATGATCATTATTTTTCCCTACAGTCTTTTAATGCCCATTTCCACTCTTATTGCTCTAACATTTAATTAAAAGAATCAGAACCTCAATTAACAAATTTGATCTTACAAACACCTGAATGCGGCAAACACAGAGCTAAAAAGAAACGTTAATTTCCCAAGTATTTCCACAGATCTGTATTTATAACATGTCACCAATGTATTTAATAATAAGATGATGATGATGATATGTCTTCAAGTAGACTTTGATTTATAGCAATCACCCCAGGATTTTCCAGGTTTAAAATATTTAGAAATGGTTCACCAGACCATCCTTCTGGAAGCACTTTTGGTTTAAAATATTTAGAAATGGTTCACCAGTCCATCCTTCTGGAAGCATTCTTGGACTGTGTAACTTGCCTAAGGTTACACAGATGGAAAGGCATGTAACCTCATCAGCTACATGATCTCTGAATATATATCAAAATCCTCAGATCCGGACTGTGTAGCTTGCCTAAGGTTACACAGATGGAAGGGCATGTAACCTCATCAGCTACATGATTTCTGAATATATATCAAAATCCTCAGATCTCCCTCCCTTCCCCTGGTAAGGTCAGTAACTACTGAAATTCTACTTCCATCACCTTGGCATGAAGGGATATGAGTTTGAAATATGTGCAGGTCAAATGTTTATTAAAACCTGCCCTCTTGTTTAAAATCAGTAAGGCATCTTACAACGTATACTAAAAAAAAAAAAACTAAACACACCACAGAAAGGCAACCACAACCAATAAATAATGACTGATAAAATTCAACTCAATCAATTTTCAGACCTGTCGGATGAAACCTAAATGCCCCCTGGAAAGAAAGCCCACCTTCCTACCTATACACCACAAAAAGAAGGCATGTCTACCTAAGGAGAAGCTCTACAATTTCAGTGCCACCATTTCAGAAAAGCCTCGTCCTGCACTGCCACATACTGTACAAAGTCTGGTAAAAATACCTTTTTGCAGTACTACTTCCAGAATTCCCGAGTCAGCATGGAGGTCAATTTTGGAAGTCAAAGCTTTGTTCTCAGTGCCTGTTACTTCAGAAGGTGGGGGCCAATTCAGTACAGCCTTTAAAGAAAAGTTTAATGTAATAATGGGTTTACTGGGCTGCATGATGAGAGGCAGTCCTTGATATCCTTGGTCCAAATCATTCAGAGCAGTGGTGGGCAAAACAAGGTCCACATACCACATGCATCCCCACTACATGCATCCCCAGGGCCCAAATGCAACCCCAGTACTGTGGCCCTCAATCCCAAAAAACTAAGCTATTGGGTTTTTTTCCTTTCCTAAAACAGATAGTTGCTTCTGCTTTTAGAAGCAATAAAAAAGCCAAGGAAGAAGACTCAATCCAGGAAGGTCTAGAGCATGGGTTCCCAACCTGAGGTCAGGACACCCAAGGGGGTCACAAAGTTTTTTCTGGGGGGCTTGGCACAAAAACAGTTGTTTTTAGTAGCAATTATTTTTATATTTATTATATTAAATGTGGTATACAAAATGCTGTTTCATTTTAATCCTCTTGGCCCACAGACAGATAAATTAAATCTGAACTAGAATTGCAGGCAACCTAGAGTTCTTAGTTATCTCTGCCCCCCTTTCCTTTTATCCATGTACATTATTATTACCCCCTCCAGAACAGACACTCTTGCTCATTTCTCTTTGTTCTTCCGCATCCATCTTTGGAGGACTGGTGTCAGCTTTTTGGACCCAAGCTTTAGCCCAACTGAAAGAGGCCTGAATGAAGCAAGTCCATGGTACATGCCAGAAATGATGATGCCCAGGTTGGCAGCAGTACCATTCACTCCGCTGGACTCTCTTGCTCTTCCAGGGGTGGCAACGATGGTGCAGTGAAAGGAGAGAGGATCTGGGCAGAGAGATCCCTCTGGGCCTTGCCTGAGGCATGGAAGAGGAAGGCAAGAGGGGCAAAAAGGAGAGGGAAGAGAACCAGGGAGGTGGGGCATGGGAAGTGTAGGGAGTTTATGTGGATTTGAGGGGGAACAGCTCTTCACTGAGGCAGCTTTTTTTGTGGGGAGGAGCCATGAAGGAATGGTAATTTCCACACCCTACATAATAAAGTGTATTGACATTTTTTTTTCTTTCTCAAATTTTATCTGGTAGAAGCAGATTTACAGCCCTCACATAATTATGTATTATTGTATTAATATTAATATATTAGGTTAGAATATATTTTAAGGTGTACAATTAAAAATAATTTTTATGCAAACATGGTGGAGGGGTCACAGGTTACTTGGTTTTATAAAAGGAGGTTGCAACTCAAAAAAGGTTGTGAAACACTGGTTTAGAATGATAACACCTCTTAGTTGCATTCCTCTCAAGTGACTCAGAAGGGTACAAGATAGTTAATGACACTGAAAACTGCTGAAAGATCTAGGAAAAACAATAGTAACCTAGGCAGCACGCTGACTGAGAATATTAAGTAGAGGAACAAAGCTTGCAGCTACAACCTGACCAGTAAAAGATTCTGTGGTGAAGCCTGAAAGGGAGGGGCACCTGAAAGCAACAATGAAATTCTACACAGCCAGTGTGCTGCACCAGATATGTGGCAACCGTATAAACCAAGATGCTTTACATTGGGTCCCACAAACCCTGTACCACAACTGATTTTGCTGCTGTTGAGCTGAATCTGGTTGGTGATTCATGTGTGTGCAAGTTAATATGGAATGGAATTATTTGAAGAAAATAAATATAAGTACTCAAAGTTGACTGAATTTAAATAATATACATGTAAATAAATAAATACGCCGCCCAGAAGCCACTGGCAATGGTGCGGCTAAAAAATATTGTAAATAAATAAATAAATAAATATGCTGGTAGAAATCCAGCTAATTCAATGGGCATAAATCTCTGGTGAATTACATCTGCTCTTGTGTGCTAGGTCATGAAACTCAATGTTCAATAGCAAATACCTATGCTAACTTGTGACAATTTGAAACCAAGATTTATACCAGTTGTATCACAGTCAATGTTCCCTCTAAAGTGAGCGCATCCACGTGTGTGCAGAGCTCCACCGGGGATGCTCATGGGCAGCTGGCAGCTGATTTCTTTACTTCCTATTTCAGATGAAGCCCTGCCCTCCGCACACACACATAGGGCGAGGCTCCTGTGAAGTAGGAACAAAAATTAGAGGGAACGTTGGTTGCTGTGGTGTAAAAATGTAATCGGATTCCCGCCATTGAGTTAAACTGAACTGAAAAAAGCAATGAAGCCTTACGGGAAAGTAGAGAAAATAAAGACAGAAGAAGTGTGCATGATGACGCCCCCAGCTCTGAAGAGGCATTAGACAAGTGATACAACCTTTAGGACAGAAACATTTTTGCTCCTTGCAGAGCAACAGAAGCTGAATGATTAGGAAAATGTTTAGCGTTATATTTGCTTATTAGCACGTTAAGCGAGGCACCACTGTATTTGCTTATTAGCATGAACCATGCTGATTGTCGAGAGCCCCTTCCTAAGGATTTTGGCCAAGAAAAACATGCTCAATTGCTTTTACTCAGAAACTTGAGCACAGACTGATGTAGTAGTGGTAGTAGTATTCTTCCAGAAACTTGAGCACAGACTGATGTAGTAGCAGTAGTAGTATTCTTCATTTGCATCAGCCATATGCCTTTGCAAGTAGTAGATAAAAATTACTGAGACGTAAAATCAACAGGCTAAAATCAAGAGAATAAATACATAAAATGCATGAGCAGTGAGTACTTTTAGGACCCCCTTCCTGCTCTTGCAGAGATTTACCCACTGTTACCAGAAAGTGAAGATTGCTTCTTTGATCCAGTACAAGTTACATAGCTTGAGAGAACCCCGCCTTACATTATAACTGATGGGTGTGCATAATACACAGTCTGGTTCACCCACCTCCGGTCCTTCTATATTTATATTTGATTGTGAATTTTATTTCTCACTAAGCGACAAAGCAAGCAAACAAACAAACAAACAACTTTACAATCCTATTTCAGGCCTTGAATTCATTTAGCTTTTGTGAAACACTAATAAATTTAAAGACAAGAAATGCATGTGATAAAACAAGTATACATAATATATTTACTTTGGAAGTCATCCAGACTTCCAGTGCTTCCAGTCAGTCTATTAAAACCCAATCAAAACACTGTCACCTACATTAGTGTCTCCACCCACCCCTTATTCCCCACAGCCACAAGCAGCACTGCATCAGGAA